GATAACTGGTCCAAAGACACTGATCCAAGGACTGCTGGTAGACAGACCTTGATTAAAGAGCAATCCTAATGGAAAGAATAAAATTATTCCAATATAATCAACAAGAAGTAATCCAATGTGACGATCGAAGCATGAGTAAATATCCAATAATAACCTCTTTCGTGAAGATAATAAATTGAAACTTGTAAAAATTATTCTTCACAAAAGTGCTTCCGATCATGGGTTGGGTTGTGGCAAAAGTTGGTGTTAAAATAAAATAATTGGTTTTAAAAAAAATAAAGAAATAAATTGGTTTTAATAAAAAAAATAAAAGGCTATGGTATTTGTTGGGTTTCAGCAAAAAAATTGGTGTAAAAAAAAATAAATGAGTGTTAATTAAAAAAATAAAGGTTTGAAGGAGATGAGAGGGGTTGATTGAGAGGGGAGGAGGTGGGACACGAGGATGGAGGGCTGGAGAGGAAGGAGGGTTGCGGGTTGAGAGGGTAAGGGCTGAGGAAGGGATAGGCGAGGATGAGAGGGATCACGAGGAGGGAGGAGCCTGCAGTGAGAGGAGTACTGATGAGGGAGCAGGTCTACCAAGGAGGGGATATTAACCAAAGACTTGAGGTCTCCGGGTGAGAATGGTAGATATTGACCGAAGACTGAAGTCTTCGGGTTGAGAAGAGTAGACTGCAGTGAAGGTAAGACGGGTTGAAGTGCTACCAAGGACTAGAGGTATTCGGTATGCAAGGGTCTCCAGAGAGGCCGCTCAACCGAGGAGACAACAGACTTCTGTAAAGCTTTTAGCTCCTCAGGTAGGGCAATTTTTTTGTCAGTTTTTGGTCCTTGGTATTGAGCTCCGAGGATGAGAGGGCTGACGACAAAAAGAGCCTTTTTTCATGAAATTTTGATACCATAGATGCCATAACTTCGTGTTTAACAAATGGAATCTTTCCTAAAGCATATGGGGACGAAATGGAGTGTTGGGAAGGGTAAATGGTGGCAGAAAGTAGGAGAGAGAAAAGCAAAAGGTGACGGGACAAGGCATGGGTCAAAGGTAAAATGTTGAGTGTACATGGAACAAAAGGTGGGGAATAAGTCACATGGATGTGAGGAATGCATGGGAATGTATGACATGAGGAATAAAGGACATGAGCTTTTTCAAAACACCTTGATAACGTCCAAGATATTCTAAAAAGATTTATCAGGAACATTTGAAGAACAAAAAGAGCTTCATACCTTTTTATGATTTCTCATATGCAGATTGATGAACTCCGCTGATATAGTATTCAAAAAGAAATCTTCTCCAATCTCTTCAACAAAACCCAAGATATTGTGTCTATTTCTAGTACATAAATAAAATGCCTGGAACACAAATTCTTCAACTACATCAACTACATCCATAACATACCCATGCTCCATGTGTTAGAAATACAACTTAAAATTACCATTACTGTATGACTTGTCTTCACTTTAACCAATTCTATCAACCACTTCTTAATTAATTAATGTCAGTAAATGTAAATATATACCGGAGTCTGTAACAAATGGTCTAATATATGTTTTTTGTTTATCTTTTTTTTTGCCAAGACCCTCTCATACCAAAAAAACAAAATTGTTCATATTTTTATAAACGATAGATGGAATTTATCTGAATTTTTCTAAAATGAAATTGTTTTTTATATATTGTGATTCAGAAAAATTATTTCAATGGAATAGAAATTGTTAGAGTTGAACATCGATGGTAGCGTCCACAACTTTAATATTTTAACCTTGATGACGAAATTAGGATTGACAGGATCAATATCTTTTATGAAAGTAATATTTGTAGTTGCCATGTGTGGAATATGTTACAAATTTGTATTAGACATAAAATACATTGATATAAGAAATTACATTGAATGAAAGAGTAAATTTTAATTTTACTTAAAAAGAAAACATTTTTTTTAGAATTTATAGCAATGTACTTCGAAAGTACATTGCTATAAGTTATAAAGCTGTTTTTTTTAAATAAATGACAGCAAATTCGGAAATGGTGTTGTTTTGTTAAATGTAACAGAAATTACTTCTACTTTTAGGGTATAAAGTATAAAAATTCACAGAAAACTTATTTTACAAAAATAGTCCATGTTTTTTCAAAATTAAAAATTCATCAAATGCCACTTAACGGTGAGTAAGTATTATGGTTTACAATTATATAAAGGGTAAAATCATCCAAGTGGTAAATAAACATGTTCTTTACCTGAAACGACAGGTACTTTCAAAATGTGTTGGCCATTTCATGTATATTGCATGGTTTTTTCTGAACCGACACTTAAAGTTGCCCACTTATGGTATACAATGGCATAAAGGGTAAAATTGTCCAACATTAGAAATATGCATATTTTTTTTACAATTATAGCAATGTACTTTCAAAGTACATTGCTATAAGTTGTAAAGATGTTTTTCTTTTGGAAAGTTGTAAAGCTTTTTGTAAGCAACAAAAATTACAACAATGTACTTTCAAAATACATTGCTATATTTGTAAAAACACATTTCATTTAAGACCAATATATGAAACATTTCATAAGTCATGTCAATTGCATAAATTGGTAAATGGGTGAAAATATATTTTACAGAAATGGTCCCTGTTTTTTAAAATTTACAGAAATTGTCCATATTAAAAGTAAATAGCTATGTACTTTAATACATATTACACACACACACATTGTTACTTTTCTTTTTCACAAATGGTCCCTATTTTTTGCTTAAGTAATAGAAATTACATAAATGGGCCATGATATGAAAGTAAATTGACAAAAATCAAAATAAATACAACACTCACCCCTGATGTGAAAATATGCAATATTTTGTTTGTTATTAAAGTACACTGTCATCAGAATGTAATATACATAAAATGACAGGGTACGTTCAAAGTATGTTTCTATTTAATGTATATTACATGATCTTTTCTACATCCAAACGTAAAAGTAAAAACTTATCAGAAATTGTCCCTATTAAAGTACATTGTATTCTGTATTTATATATTTAAACTAACAATGATTGTATAAACTTAAAAAACCAACAATATACTACAAAAAAGTTAAGTAGATAATAGCAATGTACACTACTATTTTATGTTACTTATGTATTTATTTTTTTAAATTAACCATGATTTTATAAGCTTAAAAACCAACAATATACTACAAAAATTTAAGTAGATAACAACAATGTACATTATATTATGTATTTTTGTATTTATATTTTTAAGTTAACCATGATTATAAAAGCTTAAAAACCAACAATATACTACAAAAAAATTAAGTAGATGACCGCAATGTACATATAAAGTTTTTATGTACCGAAACACATGTCATGAATTTAAAAAAAAATAGTGAGACAATTTGACCTCTATGATTATTGATTCAGAAAAAAAGGAGGATGGAACTCAAGAATTTACTAAGAAATAGCAACTTAGTTTAAAGTTTTTATTATTTGAACCTTGTTGTTATGAACATATATAGAACCAATCAACATAAGAAACCAAATAAAAAGTACTAACCTCGTGTTTTTTTTCCTGTTTTTCTTAGTGATTTCATGGTGATGGAAGGTGAATAAGCAAAGCATAATCGCAAGATTACAATAAGGAGGAAGGTTGTATAAAATTTTGACAACGAATAGGCGTTTTAGAGGTATAAACAGAAAGCAGTGAAAAATTATTTGTTGTATATTAACCCAATGGATTGAAATGTGTCAATGCAGATAGTAGTTTGAAGAGATGCACAAGAATTATCGATTGAAAGCTTTGAAAACGCCGATGAATAAAACAATTTTAGGGGATCGATATTTATATGTATAATGACAAGGTAAACAAAAATAATCCAAATCAAAATTAAAATTTTCATAATCTGCGTAATTTAACTATCATTCCTATTATGTTGGAGGATTATTTGGTATAAGATAAAGTAATTGATATCAATAGCTGATTTTTAGGGGATATCATATCTCTATGATTTTTGTATGTATAAAAATAAAACGTAAATTCAATGATTTAAGGCCATCCATATCAGTGCAATGCCACTAATCTTTTAGTTGTGCCACATCAGCTTTGCAATGACTACTCACATCAGTGCAATAACACTCATCTTTCAAAAGTGGTCCCCACTACCACATCAACAATTACTTTATATATATATATATATATATATATATATATATATATATAAAATATAAAATATTAATTTTTACTCAATAATAAATAAACATAAATTTAATTATTAAAAATTTAAATAGTTTAACCAATTATAAATTTAAATAGCTTAGACGATATAAAGTACGTCAAAGTATATCTTGTTTATTGTCTTTTATTTGTTTGTAGATTATAATATAGAAATTAGTTTTAATATTTTTAATTTTTAAATACAAAAAATGAGATAAATTATAGAAATATAGTATAATATGGTAAATAAAGTTACTTATTTAAATACAATATATAAATAAAAATGAATAGTTGTGCTCATTAATGCTTGCAAGCCTTTCAAGATTAGAAAGGGCTAAACATACGTGGCTTTCAAATTTGTAAATGTGGCATTGCAAGAAGTTTTGAAAGACCCGCTGTGGATGGTCTAAGTGCAGGTAAATTTGGAGTATTTAAACTGGTTTGCTGATTAGTAGGAACTGATAATTTCGAGATTTGAGGCAAGGAGTGGGCGGGAAAAGAAGGCAGATCATAGCTGTGGTAGTGACACGTGGAATGAAGGAGGTTTAAGAGGGGGACATGTGGCTTCCCGGAGAGGTTTTTATTAAGAATGGAGATGGAGATAAGAGGGGATATGTTTGTAACACACAGGATAAAACAAAAATTAATTAAATTAAAGCACGTAATAATAGTACAAGAAATGGGTGACCCAGTCGGATCGTTAACACCATTTTAGTTTGAAATATATGGAGCCATTATCTAGAAAGCTTCTCTTGGAATTTGTTAGGGTTTTCCATTTTTTATGAGGATCCTTTCTTATTTGAACATGTTTGAGGTGACGAGATCAATCCGTGGGTTTGGTCTTCTTCTCCAAGACCTCCCTCAGCATGAGCCTACGAAAATGGTTGTTGTTTCTGAAGCGGATGTCTGAGTTTGCAAATACGTGCTCGGGATGGCAAATCTCAAAGAATGCATCAAAAAAAAGGGATCGTTCCCACATGCATTGATCGCGTCCCGTTTGAAACGACATTTGTTGCACGTTCCTAGCAGGAGGAAACAAGAGCCTTTTTCTTAGTTCATCGATGTCAATGTCGATGTCCAATGGCAGCTCCTCCTCCTCCTCGTGCACCACCTCCTTGAAGTAGGCAGTTATTATAGAAAGGTAGCACTTGCGTGATAACGTGAGTGTTTCCCTCATCTTAAGAAAAAAATTAGCATCAACCGGAAGGGGGAGTGAGAGTGTAATCGTGGTGTGTTTGAGAGACGAGACTGGAAATAAGAGACTAGGCAATGTTTTGCCACTGAACTTGAACAAAAGTAATTTTGGAGCATGTACTTGTATGTCGATTAGGTTGCTTTTGCACGACATCAAGCACAACCTCTTGATGGAAGCACATGTGAAATGGAAGCTTCCCAACATCCAATATCTCATAAAAAGTGTCAAAACTATCAAGAAAAGGAAGTCCCGATTTGATCATGTCCAGACACTCGTAGTCCTGTATCACAACATCTAACCTTAATTGTCTCACGTTGCTTGTTAAGAATACTGAATGGGCGTTGAATGGAATAAGCGGCATATATGGTCGCAAACCATGTAGATCGCAGCTAAACAAGTCAAGATTTGGGACATCACTGACTTCCAAAGCAGTAGAGCTTGCAGCATCCAAAGCTATTCGTAATTCATAAAGACGAGGAAGGTTCTTAACCTTCAGAGTCTTGAACTCCTTGCAAGAATCTATAAGCGCTATCTTCTCAAGCAAGGTACAAGACGACAATAAATCATGGAGTACCTCTTCACCTATGCTCACACCCTTTAAGTGAAGTTCTCGTAGGGAAACACAGTTTATCACAGGACGTTGGCTGGTCGTCATCCAAAGGGAATAGCCAGATGCCATAGAAGCTTCAACTTTTATCTTAGTTAGGTTAAGATTCTCACCCGAGAGTATCTCATTTGGCAACGTAAACGAGGCACCAAAAAGCTTGATTGAGAGGAAAAACTCTCTAAGACAGGTTTTGGTTCCATTTTTCAGCAAGAGAAGCTGACTCCTGGTTCTCGATGTCGATTAGGAGGAAAAACCTTTCGATTGGTATGATGTCATGGAGATACCTTATGAGAGTGCGATCCACGTCCTCCAACTTCATGCTCTTTTGTCGTCGAACAACAAATCTGAGGATAGGGATGGTAGACCAAGCGTGAAGCCATGACTTGGACAACACACTCGTGCGCCCTGCTTCTTCATACGCCAACCGTGATTGTATAAGATGCATCAACTCGGGAACATCTTCTACTTCTCGTCTCATCCCTTCAAACATATAACAACACATCATCAAATTTTCAAAAACATTTTATCCTAAAAAATTGCATATACGTACGGATATTCAACTTCAAATCAAACCAAAAACAACAGATTTCCATATCCATCCATAGTTTGCCTACTGCCAAGCATATTTAAGGGAAGTTAAAGAAAGATGGCTCTGTGGACAATTTAATGGATTCAATCACCTTGCATTGTGTGTTTCCTATTAAGGTTAGAAGATGTACTACAGCTGTAAGATGTTACTTTTTCATGTCAAATCTTTTTCCTATATATCATCTTACTCCCCTTCTTTGATGTTTGTTGTTTTTATTTAACTTAATTTGAATTTAATATTGATCAAGTGTTTAGTGCATTGTCTTGAATTTTGAGATGAATGTTCTGATTAACTGAATGTATTATAAGCATCATTTCTTCTCGATGGTTCTTCTCTTCGATAAAGCTATGTGTTACATGTCAATCAATTTTTTTCCATGGTGCTCTAGATGCTGCCTGTTCCTAAAATTGTTTCACTAAAATTCCTCAGTGGAGTTGTTTTTCTTGACTACACGCATGCCTCTATTCACCATTCTTAACCTAACCCTTTATGTCATTATATTGATATACTTTTATATGAAACAACTTTATGTTATTTAGGCAGTATCCTGTTCCTGCTAGTAATTCCACCCAGCCTATACGAAATAAGTTATTAATGAATGCAACTTATGATATTTAGTGATCAGTATCCTTGTAATATTTTAAAGGCTAGCATGATCGTTTAGACAAATACAATCATGGGAGAAAAAAATGAAATGTATTCATAAACTCCTTTCAATCTAATGTGCTTCTCTTCGAAATGAAAAAGAGGTTTTCATTGAGGCAATTCTTCAAACGTGTCGTATGCATATAAAATTACAAAAAATATAGAAAAGATAAATATGGTAGGATTTTGATATAGAAAAATAAAACTGAAGCAGATACCTAGCGCAATAGCACATACCTGTAACATACTCTGCTAGAAGCGATGCGATTCTTCAACAATTCTTCATAAACTATTATTCAACATCCTTTCATCAACATTGGTTCTTCGATCATTATTCAACAGCGATTTTTTTACAAATCACTCTGGTCATGATTTGTAGAGCCTCACAAATAATCAATGTTGATCAATACTTAAAAGTTAAAAGAGTATTTCAATGAGTTGAGGAAAATCCATAATCGTTAAAATAGACTTAATAGTGAAAGTGCCCTATGGGTAGGTTGCAGATTTTCGTGGAGGCATGAAAAAAAAAGGTCAATGTAAACTAGGGATGAACGACCGGCCGAACCCGGACCGGACCGGCCCGAAGACCGAAAATCGTGAATTATCTTCCCCGAAAACAATACGGTTTTGGGTGTACGGGTTCGGTTCAGTTCGGTCCGGTCCGGTCTGGTTCCGGGTACTAAACAAGGTTTTGGGTTTTGGACCAAGTTAGATTTTGACAGTGTTGTTTACGGTTCCGGCTCTATTTCGGGAAATATCCAGAAAAATCAATATTTTGGATTTTTTTTTAATAAAGTCCTAGATTTTATTTTTTGAACAAAAAAGTCCCGAGTTTTTAATTTTTTTTAATAGAAAAAAGCTTAAGAAACCGGCTACTTTATTTACTTTAGTCTTTTTTGACCTGTTCAGCAGGTCATTGGACAAAATTGTTAATTTTTCCAAAATAATAACACACGCTAGGCAGTGTACCTAGTCAAATAGTAGTTTAGTGCAGGTAAGTAGGGTATCAAACACAGATAACAATAATGATAATTAAAATTACTACTAATGTTAACTAATTTAAACAATGATTAAAATTGGGGTTTTTCTCTAGTTTTACAAGACTAGAAACTTAAATAATCACTCAAACACTTGGCAAGGAATCAATTAACAACTAATTAAGGAACAAAAGACAATTAAATCAAGAATATTAAAGAAACTTCCATTTAGATACGATTCACTTACTCATATGGTTGATTTCGTGGAAAGTGCAATGGATTAATGTGTAATCAATTACCGATTTCTAATGTGATTAGGTTAATGTTCACTAAACTAATCCTTTAGCAAACAAGTTAATGCAAACAAAGATCAATTGATTAAACTAACAAGTTTACTAGTATTAAGTTCGAATCATGCATACTTGTAATGGTGATTAATTCAAATGGTTGATTAAATTAACTCATCTATGGTTGGTCATCATATATAACTCACACATCAATTTACTTACTTTCTAGTTAATCCTAGCTTTTGTTCAAAACACTAGTCTTACAATCTTGATGATCACAAAACTCTAAGAATCAAGCAATCAAGAAAGATAGTCATACAATCTCAATTAACTTAGTAATTAACAGAAAAATAATTATCATTTACATATAAGGTTCTTTTAACAAGCTAACATGATAAATAATCAAATCAACATAATCCAAAACCACAAAATCAACACATAGTCATAAGATCCTCTATTCTAAACGAAAGTAGGGTTTTTAGCCCATGACTTCAACAAAAACAAGCATAAAAACGAAATTCACTATTGCAAACATGATGAACACAAAGGAATTAAGTAAAGCAAAAGATGATTGCCTTAGATCTCTTCAAAATAAAGATTCTAATCGAATTCTGCACTCTACAACTCCTAAGGGATGTCTCTGGCCTCCAAAAATCGATAAAAACTTCCAGCATAAGTTAGGGTTTAGAGGGGAAACGATCTATATATAGATTCTGAAAAACGGCGAAACACGGCGTGGTTAAGAGCCAACATGTCGTGTTCTTCATTAAAAACGCGTATCCGACAAGGCAAGATCCCATCGTGAATCTTCAATACTTCACGACGTGTTTGATGTAAACAGGCCGTGTTCTTCTTAAATTTCTTATTCTTCTTGAAAATCCAAGGTCCTAGCTTCCATTCGCCAATTCCACTTCCTTTTCTTTCTGAGCATGTCTTGGCTGCTGCAAAATAAATTTCCAACCAATTAAGTACCATTTGTTCAATAATTGATACAAATGCAACATAAAATATTAAGATAATGCATGAATTATATGATTAAATATGCTAATATCAAACGCTAATGGGGGCACACGCATGCCGACTTCAAAGTAGTAAAGATAAAAACCAACTTTACCTAATGGGGGCACTCGATGATTGCATTGGGAGTAGGTTGAACAACACCATCCTCATCGACAAGATGGTACTTCATAGAAACTTGGTTGAGCCGTTCATGGCTGACGGTGGAGTGAACAACGAGCATTACCGAACGAGACATTTTTTGGCAAAGCGTACGAGGATTCAGGAAGAAGAAATGACAAAGAGAATATGGAAGAACAAGATGGAAGAATAAAAGGACGAAACTGACAAAGTTTTGACAAGAATTTATGAAATGGAAAGCAGGAAGCCAACTGCTACTAAACAGGGTTTCAAGTGCCTATATGCCTACAAGAAGTTATGGGCGCATGAGTAAATAAAGAGTCGTCAACTGTATTGAATAATAAGATATGAAAGTAAAACCCATTTAAGCCCAATTAATATAAATCGGCAGCGCTTTATAACAATCAGGCTGGGGGGGGGGCTTAATGGGGTATGGGCGCCAGCCCACACAACACCATGCCGACCAACAAACCCGGCCTGCCAGCATAAGACATAATTACATATATACTACCGAGAACTAGAGCAAGAATCACCCTATAACCGTACACATCCTATGAAGCATCTCCAGGAAACAAGGAAAAAAGAAAGACTATTTGTGACATATCATGCATCGTGTTACTTGGGTCTTTCCTTTTTCCGTGTTTTCGGGAGATGCTTCTTATTCCGGGTTTAGTGTTAACCCTTAGGTTACGACTACACGCATCTGGGTCACCACATAGCAACAGAAGGAGGCTGCAAAGCCTAATGTGCCGCCTATGACAAAGGCAAGAACATTCCATATAACACTGGAAGCAGCAAGGGAGGAAGCAGTTGTCGCTTCAGGTACTTTTTGTGTAAATGGATTGCCTGCCAATATACTATTTGATTCTATAGCTGATTACTCTTTTATATTTCATAAATTTGGTAGAAGGCTAGCATTGCTTGTAGATAAACTAGATAGTGCTCTAGTAGTAGAAGTTGCTAGTAGCAAATTCATACCTGTTAGTGATTGCATAAAGAACATCGTCATCGACTTGAATGTGAATAAATTCCAAAAAGAATTGTTGCCCATTCAATTAAACGGCCTCAACATAGTGTTAGGAATGGATTGGCTTAGTACGAACGACGCCGACATCAAGTGTAGAAAGAATATTGTAGTGATTAAACCACTCGGAAGAGAACCATTTATGGTGTACGGGGACAAATGCATAGTGAATTCTGGAATCATCTCCTTGATCAAAGCCAGGAAATGTTTATCTAAAGGATGTACATCATACCTAGCATTTGTGATCAATGCAAAGAAAGTGAAAAAGTAGATGTAGATGATACCAATTGTGTGTGAATATCCAAAAGTCTTTCCTGAAGATCTTCCTAGATTGCCCCCTGATAGACAAGTAGAGTTTAGGATAGACTTGTTACCAGGAACCATTGATAGCTTCATTTTATTTACTTCTTTTT